GCCGGGGAAGCAGGAGTACGCTGTGATGATTACGATATCCGTGATCTCGCTCATGGTGGCCCTCGACGCTACCATCTTGGTGCCAGTACTACCGGTATGGTGTTCTCTCGCTTTTTCATCAAGCACCATGATCTTTCATAGCGTACCTCCGTCTTTAAGAGCTTCGTACTAACATCAACCGCCATACAGACACTTGCTCTGGAGCTTGGAGGCACAGCTAGCGATGCGTTCTGGGCTGGCACGTCATACCTCCTGACATGTGCCGTCTTCCAGCCCTTCATCGCTGCGGTGTCGGACCTGTTCGGCAGGAAGGAACTGCTTCTGATATCTATTGGGTCCTTCACTCTCGGCACGCTCTTATGTGCTCCCTTGGCCAAGAACTTCACCGTTCTCCTCGCCGGTCGGTCCCTTCAGGGCATCGGTGGAGGCGGTATCATCACCATGGGCCAAGTCATCTTTTCAGACATCATTCCCCTCAGACAGCGACCGAAATACTTCAGTATGGTACAAGCGGCCTGGGCCTTTGGAACTGTGCTCGGCCCACTGCTGGGTGGGTTATTCGTTGAAAAGGCGACGTGGAAGTGGTGCTTCTACATCAACGTAAGTCTCTCGCATGCTCCAGAGTCTTGTCACATAGTACTAATAACCCATACAGTTCCCCTTCTGTGCTCTGGGATTCGTTATGGTACCTCTATTCGTCAAGCTCAGAGCCCCGAAATCTTCTTTTGCCTCAAAGATGGCTCGAGTCGACTGGGTAGGAGGATTCCTGTTCATCGGAGGAACAACCAGCTTTTTGATTGGCCTCTCGTGGGCAGGTGTTCAGTACAAGTGGTCGAGCGCTCAGTCTCTGGCACCGATATTCGTCGGCATCAACGCTGTCGTTGCAGCTGTCGCCTGGGAGGTCTACTACGCGAAAGAACCATTCCTGCGCCCACGATTGTTCTCGTCGCCTTCCTCGCTGGCTGCCTATGCCTGTGCTTTTGGTCAAGGTGCATTGGTAAGTTTTACAGTCCCTTCGTCACCAAGGACTTATCCTGCGGAATATTAACTAACAATGTGTTTGAAGATATTCTGTGCGCTGTACTACGTTCCCTTCTATTTCACGGCCGCCAAGTTCCACGGCCCCATCCAATCCGGCCTGGATCTCCTCCCTGTCTCTGTCCTTCTCCTCCCTGGCTCTATTGTCGTGAGCTTCCTCACCACCCGTCTCGGCCGCTTCCGATGGGCCATCTGGATCGGCTGGGCCATCACAGCCCTCGGCAGCGGGCTCTTCCTCCTCCTCGACGTCGACACTCCAACTCCGACCTGGGCCGCCATTATGTGCGTATTCGGCATCGGCAACGGCATGATCCTCACGAGCATCAACGTCGCCATCCAGGCCATCAGCAAAGCAGAGGACTGCGGACGTGCCGCGGCCATGTACGCATTCATGCGCACCATGGGCATGTGCATCGGCGTTGCGGTCGGCGGCACCACGTTCCAGAACGTCATGAGCGTCAAGCTGCGCGAACTGGGTCTGCCCGACGCCATCGCCAAGAACGCCGAGGCGTTTGTCCACCGCCTTTGGACGCTGGAGCCGACTGATCCCGTCCGGATCGGTTCTTTGGAGGCTTATGTCCATGGCTTTCACGCCGTGTTCTGGGTTATGACGGGTATCACGCTGGCCGGTCTCCTCGTCAGCTTCTTCATCCGGCGGCACAGCATGGACAAGCCACTTGAGTCGAACTTTGTGCTCGACGGGGCAGCGGGCGACCCTGCTCAGGCTCAAGAAGTTGTTGAGACATTCGAGCCAAAATCGGGACACACTTCGCTATCTTCGACGACACTGTCCATTGACAGCTTCGCGCTCGGTCACGAGCACAATCAGAAGCAAGTTCCGGATCAGCACAGTCAGCAGCTAGAGACACAGCGGTCGGAGAAGGTTGCGTCCTTCTTGGTTGGTCCCGGAGGGTGGCGGGTGCCTGTCGACCCTGTGTCGGGTGGCCCGCTCCCACTGCCTCAGCGGATGTCACAAGCGTCCGGATCACTGCCACAATTGCCGCAGACTATGTACTTTGCTGAACCAGAGAGGCAAAGAATAAGCTCAGTGTTACAGTCATTTCCTTAAATGTTAAGGAGTTGTTTGGTCTATTTACATGGGTTGGGATATACGTTTTGCATCGAGTTAAGGCGTCAAAATGCTTGTCTTGGTCACGCATAGGATGATACCAATTTGATTTGTGTCCTTCCATCTCTATCGTAAATGTCCAACCTTCATACCGTATAACACACACAGACTGGTTCACAAATGTTTTATTTCCCTTGGTGGCCGTGACAAAGTCATCGCCATCCCTTGGCAAGGACAACATAATCCTTACTCGTATTTCCGCCGGGCTGCTCATTCCGCAGCTGAAAACTAGCTTCTCTCATGCCAAGTTCCCATGCCCTGCTCTCGTAGTCTCAGGAAACGAAGCCCAAGATAGCCGAAACCCCGAACCGTCATCCCACCCACGCACGCCTGTCAGATCTTTATCTCTAGCTCTGCGGCAGGGCGACCTCGCCTGCTATATGTAGTAAGCACAACCCAACCACCCGACCAGAATAAGCCCGATTACGACGAGGAAGAACAGCCGGACGAACGCGGCCTCGACCCACCGCTTGTTGCACTGCTCCTCCCTCGCCTTCCACCCTCCCGCAGCCGCGTTGGCGTGGGGGAACTCGACGTCCGGGACAGGTTTCCCCAGGAATTTGCACAGCGGCTCCCAGCCATCGTCGATGTACCACTCCAATAGGCGCTCGGGCGGTACGAGGCCCCGAATCATGGCGCAGTGTTCTAGTACGAGTAGCCCCCAAGTGTCAGCATGCCGTAGGTATAATCCACCGAGTTGACTCCGCCATATACGCTCCTGCCTGCACCGTACAGCACAGCAAAACTAGCCAAAAAACCAAAGGAACAGAAAACAAGCGCTGACACAGCAAAACATCTGACAAGCTCACCTCTAGCAACCCACCTCGCATTCCGCCGCACAGCCTTCCCCATATCCCCGTCCGGAGCCCGGAACAGCATCGGCCAGAGGAACCGCTCGTACACGTGCCACGCCCAGAAGCACTCCCTGTCCAGCCAGCTCGCGACCCAAAACGCCCAGCTCTCGTTGGCGCGCACGAGCGTCCTCACCACGCTCGCGTGCCAGGCGTCGGCGTCGCGGCGCATGTTGAGCACCACTTTGGCCTCCGGGTAGGCGGCGATCATCTCGGCCGCGAAGACGGAGGCCGCGGCGTCGGTCACGGCGACGGAGTGCCCTAGCAGCGCGTCGAAATCGGCCGCTGTTATTTGGGGAGACGTGATTGTTGAGGAGGAGGAGGAGGAGAGGTCGGGGCCGAACAACTTCTTTCTGGCGAGGGCAACCCAGCCCGGGGAGTGTATCTGTTCGTCGTAGACTATGTCCCAGCCGTGGTAGGTATGGTCGAACCCCAGAGTGAGGAGGGCTTGCTGGAGGGACTCGGTGCCGCTTCGGGGGAGGCCGACGCAGATTACTTCCATTGGCTTTGTGCGCTTGCGTGGTGGAGGCGGGTTGGAGAGGGCGTAGACATGCTTTTCGAGGAAGTGCCATATTTTGCTGTCTAGGCTGAGGTTGATCCGGGGAAGGAGGAAGCGGGAGGGTCCCCTGTAGGGCTGGTCTTGTTTCGGTGAGCCATCGTTGGAGACAGATTTGACGCCCATGTTGACGGTGGCGTGGTGTTGTCTCCTTTCCTTGCTTGCAGTGTGTTTGGGTTGAGTTCCTATCGAGTGATAACCGTGGTTTGGTTTCGGGCTCAAGTGGTGTTCCAGTTCAGTAGATGATCTAGCCCGATGAAGACTCTAAGACTCAAAGCCGGCGCAATATGTCAACGCTCGTCTATATAGGGTTCCGGTGCGTGTATGTCGTTGATGAAATCCGAGGTTTCGGAAGCCAAGCTGGCTTATGCCTGTTAGTGATGTCGATCACCAGTGTGATTCATCGTGATGAAGCAACGATACGCACTTCCCAGGCGACAGAGCAGGTTTTAGTTCTTTTAACTCACCTTGTTCCCCGTTGCTCTTCATCCTATGTATACACCACAATTGCATGCCGACCTGCTTTCTTAGATCGCAAATATGTCATATATCCGCAACAGCAAGGTACGCGTGGCTCCCCGTTTCGATCCTGGGTTATGCTATGAGCATTAAGCGGCCATGGCGAATTGGGTAAAAAGCAATTATCTTTCTCCAGCAAAGCAGTGATATTACCTGTACGGTTATGTCACCGAGTGCCGGCTAATACGTGCTGGACTGCCAGCCGAGGAAATAAGCTCCTGTGCCCCTTGGGAATGTTATGCAGCCCAATATCTCTGGACTGCCAGATATATAAGTATTTCTCAAGGCGGATGCAAGTCGGCCGCTGGGGTAGAACAGCCGGTTGTCGGCATCGGTACCTGTTCAGGGGCAAAAGGGATGCCCCTTTGGACTTCGAGTCGAACGACTTAGAGCCATCGTGGGCTAAAAGTGAGTTCACGCACCATCTTGGATGTCTCACACTGTAGTGAGGTTGCTGTCCGTCTACATAAGCAACAATGCAGCCGGTAACAAAAACAAACGGTTAAAAAGAAGGGTACAATTGCTGTATTAACTGCGTGCGATGCAGCAGAGCAAAAGTGTGATCCGAGCCGGGCTCGAACCGGCGACCTTATGCGATCTTTTGTGAGGCATACGTGATAACCAACTACACCATCGGACCCGTTGGAGAATTGGTGGCGTATTTCCACTCGTGTGGCACGCTCGGGGGCTGGTACGATCCGATGGGCATGACTCGCGACAGCTTCGGCTTCCAATTGAACATCGCAGAAGGCAGTTGAGCTCACAAGCGTCGTAATGCTTGCATTAGAAGCTCCACTCCTGATTATTGAGGCAGGCTGCCGCGAGTCGAAAAAAGAGAAGATGATGGTGCGCCAAGGCAGAGAGGCAAAAGCAAAAGAAATTTCCGCCCAATGGGCAAAAAGAAACATGACTGAAGCGCGATTCGAACGCGCGCCTCTTTCGAGACTAGAATGCTCCAACTCTTGGGAGAGCAGGAAGTGTTAAAGACACTTGAGTCTAGCTCCTTAGACCGCTCGGACATCCAGCCAATTTTCGATGGAAGTTGGGGTTGGGTTTTGTTCGAGTTGAGCCCCCTGTGGGCATCAATGACGAGAATGACTCGCCATCTGTGGATACGAGATGGATAGAAGTCAAAGATGAAACAATTGCCTTATTGACACTCACCAAGGTGAATCGGAGCGAGTGACGTAGTTCGCTTACATAATTAGTAAGTGGTAGCCCGAAGGGTCGCACAGCATCGAGTTCCAGGCAACAGAATGAATTGAAACACAAGGAATACCGAGCTCGACATTTGGAATATCAATGGAGAAGATGTTCAATTGCTGTCGAACCAGAACGCAGACAATGCTATGCAATCCAAGAAAATGGAATCTGTTTGGGGCTTGCCCGCTAAGCCACGGCATGTGACATCCTAGCTCCTTCGTGCCTTCCCAAGGTATGACCTCAACCAAGGCACTTCCTTCGAAGTGAAAATACCATACATCTAACGTTACACATTATACAGTTAGAATAAAACAACATCGCAAGCCACTTTCTGCCCTTTAAAAAGAGTTCAAAGATCCAACTACAGCCTATTTCAATTCTGTGCTTCACTCTCAACTAAACCAAGCCTCAGGCTTATCAATCGCCTCCAACATGGCAGACGCCAAGACATCAACACAACAAGCAGCAGCACCGAGGCTAGGCCTCGAAACCCTCGAGGACGACGCCCCAGGTCCCCAGGACGAACTCCCGGCCTACAGCCCGCCCTCCAAGAACCCCCTCAACCCGCAAATCCCCCTCGCTCAACAACTCCACGTCGCCGCCGGCCCGTCCGGGTCTGGTGCCGTCCAGCGCCAGTTCCCGCCCGAGTTCAACCTCTACAGCGCCTCCCTGCTGGGGCGGACGTACAACCTCGGCGAGAGCCAAAACGCGCCCATCTACGTCGTCTCGACGCACACCGGCTGGTCCGGCAACCCGGACGTGATGCTGCACACGACCACGGCTTCCAGCTCCCCGCCGATGGCGACGGCGAACTTCAGGACGTTTACGAACGACACCACCGTCGTGCTGCCGCCGTTAAACCCTAGGTCTGGTCCGACGGAGACGACGCTCAAGGGGAGCTTGTTTATGCGCACCTGGAGTTTTACGATTGAGGTACCGGGCCCGAATGGGCAGCTTCGGACTGAGCCGTTTGAGTGGCGGCATTCGAAGGGGGAGGACGTGAACGCGATTGGCAGCGTGTGGGGCACGGGTTGGAAGCTGGTGCGGATGGGGGGTCAGGGGAGTGCGTCGAAGGAGGTCGTTGCTGTCATGACTGAGGGGACGGTGAGCTTGACGAAAAAGTTCAGTTTCAAGTTCATTGGCGCTGGCGAGACGGGCGCACTGGGAGAGAGGTGGGCCGTGATGGCTGTTATTTCGGCCATGGCGATCTGGGAGAAGAACAAGAGGGCGAAGAACAATGCGGCCCACCGATAGGCGGTTGGCGGTGTTTTCCCGCTGCGTGGTTCTTGTCTTTGTTACGATACCCCCCTATCTCGGGCTTCTGAGCTGGGATTTACGATGTCTGGAGGATTCACCGGTGCTTTGTTATCAGATCCGGCATCCGGGCTCCGGTTAGATGGCGGCATGCCCGGTCGAGAGCCGGAGGATTGGCTGCGGCCAACTGATTTATAGTGTATTATGAGACGACGAATGTGATGCGATTTCGTTTACATAGTGCGCCGGTTGCTTTTATGCCGCTGACGATGTTGTCAAACATCATCATTGAGAGCTTCACCAACAGTCAAGTTGAACCAACACAGCACGGCTGGACCCGGTTTCCGGGACATGGAACCTCTCCCTCCGCGGTTTTTCACGCTGAAGATCCTTGGCCGGTAGCGACTCCGGGACACTGGGGCGATGCAACACAGAGAGCAACCCGCTGATCTGATTCGCTCGATTTGTTTTCAGGTCGGAGCGTTAGAGCCTCTGGGCCGCCCATGGAGGCATTCACTGACTGCTCAAATAGGATGCCCAATTTGTCTTGCTTCCGAGGAACTGCAACCCGGGTCCTCCTCGCCTTCGTTTCTGCGTCCGAACGGGCCGCCATTGCGCGAGGGAGCGACACCATGTCACACTCTAGTACCTCTCGGCGTGAGAGTCTGCGATCGATGTTAGGGATTGACCTTTGGGGATGCCATTCTCGAATTAGCACACGGAGGCTCTGATGACTGCAACTCTGTAACCAGGAAAATCGACCTCAGCTCAGCAGATGGAGCAACCGGGGAGGATATAAGAACTGTACTACTTCCGAGTTGCCTGCCCTCTGACCGCACACACGCCAAGCAAGTCCATCGTCACAGGCCACCGACAAGATGAAGTCCCCCCTCCTCACCACCCTAGCAACCCACCTCCTCGCCGTCTCAGCAGGCACGATCCTCTGGGACGGGCGCTTCAACGACCTCTCCTCCTCCTCGGACCTCAACAACTGGTCCTGGGGCAACCAGGTCGGGCCCTACCAGTACTACATTCACGGCTCCTCCCCCGTAACCTCCTACGTCAACCTCTCCCCCTCCTACAAAAACCCCGCCGACTCCGGGTCCAAACAAGGCGCAAAGATCACCCTCGACAGCACGGCCTACTGGAACGGGCAGAACATGCGTCGCACCGAGCTCATCCCGCAGACCACGGCTGCCATCAACAAGGGCAAGGTGTTCTACCATTTTTCTCTGATGAGGAGCGCCACCAACCCGCCCGCCCAGACGAGGGAGCACCAGATAGCATTCTTCGAGAGCCACTTCACAGAGCTCAAGGCCGGGTGGCTGTCGGGCGCGCCCGGTGTTTCCGACCCGCTGCTGCGGTGGTGCATCGGGGGCAACACGAAGTGGAGTGTCAACTGGGACGCGGGGGTGTGGCACAACGTCGCGTACGAGATCGACTTCGCGGCCAACACGGTCGGGTTCTGGCACTCGACGGGCGGGGATAACTTGGTTCAGGTCGTCGCGCCGCAGGCTGCGAGCACGAGCAGCAACGGCGCGGACTGGCACGTCGGCGTGCTCGAGCTGCCGAGGGACGGGTACCCGGACTCGAACGAGGACTATTACTGGTCTGGGGTGTATATCGAGAGCGGGAGTATAACCACCTCTGTGTCTGGGCCTGGGAGTGAGTGTTCCTACATGTGATGTATGTGGGTCCCGAACTGACACCTGTCCAGCTCCCGGCAATGGCAACGGCGGAAGCAGCAGCAGCTCGAGCTCGAAGCCCGCGACGACCAGCACTAGCACCACCAGCTCGACCAAGACGACGCTGGTGACGTCCACGACTACCACCAAGACCACGAGCGTTCCTAACCAGACTACCACGACCATCCCCGGCCCTAGCTGCAACCCCGTGGGGAAGTGGATGCAGTGCGGCGGGATTGGCTATACGGGGTGCACGACTTGTGCGTCTGGTAGCACGTGCCAGAAGTCGAACGAGTACTACAGTCAGTGTCTATAGGCTGAGTTGTCAATGGTGATGGTCGCATCCAAGGCATATTTTGTACATAGAGCCTTCTTCATTTCTTGTTTATAGTCTTTTGCGCAAAAGCTGCGTGCATATGCTGTCCGGTGAGGGCATAGAACAACTTGTCTGTATCTTCTAACTCCTTTTGCACCAATATATATACAATTTTCCAGTCCGCCCGGGGTATCACTTGGACTTCTCTCTATCCCAACCAAAAAGCCCAAGACCACAGTTCTTTTTGTCGAACTTATTGTCTATCCCATCCGAGATTCTCTTGCGCCATATATCCGGCCTTTTCCAGTGCGCCCGGGGTATCACTTATCTAACTTTCCGCCATCCCGTCGTAAATATCTAATAACCCCATCTATGAACTCCTCTTCCCAAACGGTTCGAAGGGAAACACGGCGCTAAGGCCCGCCATCCCGATGAACAGCGCGGCACAGACGTATATCGGCGCGCTCGTCGCCGTGTCCGCATACGTGGCGATCACGGCGCTCATCATGCCCATGACCCGGTTGCACGCCACCGCCACGCCATTACCCGTCGCGCGGTGGGCGCTGGGCAGCACCTCGGGCGTGTACGCGTACAGCGTGCCGTAGTAGATGTTGACGCAGAACCCGATGGCGCAGCTGAGCCCGACGTTCTGCGCCTCCGTCGTCACGGCCGAGTAGGCGAAGAAGAAGGCCGCCGTCACCAGAGCGCCTATAGACATCGTGTACCGCCTCCCTAGAAAGGGGATGTTGCACATTACCCCGGCCAGAATGGGGCCGAAGATGGAGGAGACGTTGGTCAGGGTGTAGTCGCGCCAGGTGGTGTAGGGGTCGGTCGGGAAGTTGGCGCCGCGGCCCTGGAGGTAGGTGGGCAGGAAGACGTAGAACAAGGGGTAGGCGAGGCCGATGAGCATCCAGGAGAGCCAGATGAGGAGGGTCGAGACGCTGATGCCGCGGGTGGCGAAGAGGCCGCGGAAGTGGATCAGGGTTTCCGACAGGGAGAAGCGCGAGGCGCTGTGGGTGCCGCGGACGACGCCGCAGTCTTCGAGCTGCTGGAGGGTCAGGCTGCAGGGGCGGTTGTACGTCTTTGCGAGCCACTGGAAGGTCTCGACTACCGCGGCGTCGTCGCCCATGCCGAGGAGGTACTTCGGGGTTTCCCTGAGGCGGATAACGGTGATGCGCAGGACGGACATGACGAGGACGAGGGTGCCGCTGGTGAACATTACGTAGCGCCAGCCCATGTTGGTGGAGCGGGTGCAGGTTTCGACGGAGGTGCAGTTCCATTTCCCGGGGACTGCGTGCTGTGTGTTAGGAGAATGATGCAGCCGGCAGTGCGGAATGAAGGGGGACTCGACTTACCCATGAATCCCCAAGCGATGAATCCGGCAATGGCCTGCCCGAATCCCCACCAGGCGGCAAGCAAGGTGAGCACCCACTGCTTGTTGCCGGGGAGATACTCGAGGAATACGGTGGTGTCGAGGATGAGGTTACCGCCTGCGCCGAAGCCGATCATGGTGATGAAGAAGGCCAGCGAGACCCAGTTCGGCATGCCGCCTGCAATGACGGCGGACGC